TCTTAGTTAAATTTCATTCAAATCGGTTCAGCGATCGGTTCAGCCCGGAGAGAAAATTAAAAAAATGGTTATTTATATCTTAGGGGCATTAATAAATCCCTCAGTTTAATACACACTTATTTCGATATCACAGACAGATACATCAATTTTTCACATGTATAGATAAATACCGCATCGTCTAATTTTGTCACATTCACAGCGTGATATAAACGGTATAAAATAATTAAATATTGAATAGATAAACTGTTGATAGACTTTATAAATGCGAAAAATGAAAAACGGCTTAAAAGGAATATCTTGCGCTCTAAGTAGAATTTGAATGAAGTTGTCAAAGCAAGTGGAATTTGCGAACCCATCGGAGTTGAACGTCGGGTGACATTCCTCTCGCGAAGACGAAATACTCGTATGTATGTGTAACTGAAACGAATATAACATTTGTGAATATAGCGTAAGGTGAGATTTTAAAATTTTTCTTATTTTGTGTAATAAGCAAAATTTTGGGAATTGAATAAAACTATTATTTACGGATTTTATCGCGTTTAATTCAAATTTAATTTATTTTTATTATCCCGACGTTTCGGGTGCTTTACAGCACTCGTGGTCACGGGGGCACTGAGATGTTTGACGTCCCAATGAGCTTATAGTATCATTAAGTCTTGCAGTGGTATGCTTGGGTTTGGGTTTAATTTTGTAAATTATAGGATCCCAAGCAGCTGGCAGCACCCATCCATCTTCTCTATTGAAATTTGAAGGTTTTTTAATTTAAATAGCCTCGCGTATGATCCTTGGTAGGAATCGGTGTTCTTTTGCGAGAATTTGTGGTTTATCAAATGGTGGGGACGATCTTGAACATGTTCGCAGACTGCAGACTTCCTGGAGCGTCGGTGCTTTAGGTCAGCTATATGTTCCTTCACGCGGGTTTTAATAGATCTTTTTAGACATAGGTCAAACAAAAAGATCTATTAAAACCAGTGTGAAGGAACATCATTTCACTCAGGCTCGTTTTGCGTAAATCGGACCAAAAATTAATATTCAAAAACTGAAGGTAGCCGGACTAACTATGACATTGGGACGTCAAACATCTCAGTCCCCCCGTGACCACGGGTGCTGTAAAGCACCCGAAACATCGGCATAATAAAAATAAATTAAAGTTGAATTAAACGCTATAAAATCCGTAAATAATAGTTTTATTCAATGTGTAGTGTTCGCGTAAATTTAAGCAATCATTAAAATTTTGGGAACTTTAAAAAATGCATATTTTTTTTACATTCATAGTAATAATGTAAAAAAATAAATGTGAAGAAATAAACAAAACCTTTAATTTAATTATACTAAGGCCCTAAGAAAATAGACCCTAGGTCTGCGTACTCTGTATGATAAACCTAGAAATGAGGATATCCGAAGTAGAACCAGATTGATCGATATAGCCCAATGGATTAGTAAGCTGAAGTGGAAATGTCCGGCCATATAGCTCTATGAACTTTCCTTTTGCCAGATACTGGTCCCTTCCATCGTGTGGTTCTGTATTGTCCATCTATTATCTTGGTATCGTGATATGTGTCCTGTCCATTTCCACTTTAACCTTAAAGCGTGCGTGAGTGCATCTGTTATTTTTGTTTTTTGTCTTATTATATTGTTTTTGACTTTATGTATTTTATTTATATTTAAGATGCTCCTTTCCATTGCTCTCTGTGTTGTATATATTTTCTGTCTCACTTTGTTTGTATATGTCCAAGTCTGGCAGCCGTATAATAGACTAGGTAAGAGGCAGGTGTCCATTATAATACTCTTTATTTTTATACTGTAATTTCCTTTTAAAATTTCTTTTAGTGACCAAAACTTTCTCCATGCAATGTTTTTTCTTCTTTCTACTTCGTCTTCGTTGTTGGTTTTCATGAAGGATATTTGTTTCCCCAAGTAAATGTAGTTTTTTACGTATTCTATATTGTTTCCTTTTACGTTGATGGGTACGTTGTGACTGTTGGTCATTATCTTAGTCTTGTTTATATTCATTTCCAAACCTACTTTTGAACTTTCTTGGTCTAGTGAGTGTAGCATATCCTTAAGTTGTTTAGCAGTTTCAGAAAATATGACTATGTCATCTGCAAACCTAAGATGATTTAAACGACAGCCATTAATATTAATGCCATATTTTGTCCAATTTAACTTTTTAAATATATTTTCCAACACTGCGATGAAAAGTTTCGGCGACAAAGGATCGCCTTGCCTGACTCCTCTTTCTATTTTTATTTGGTCACCTCTCCTTTCAAGTTTAACCCTGCTTGTACTATTTAGGTATATATATTTTATGATGTTTATGTATTTATCGTTTACATTTGACGTTTTTAATGCATTCCAGATGAAACCATGGTTGATACTGTCAAAGGCTTTGCTGTAGTCTATAAAACCGATATAAAGATTCATTATATTCATGATTTTTCTATTAGTTGTTCCACAGTGTGTATGTGGTCAATTGTGCTGAATCCTGAGCGGAAACCTGCTTGTTCTATTGCCTGAGTTGCGTCAATTTCTTTTGTGATTCGTTTTGATATGATAGATGTAAAGAGCTTGTACATACTTGTCAGTAGACTTATGGGTAGTACTCTAGTACTGTAGTTTCCGATATCTAAAGGGTTTCCTTTTTTATAAATTAATATAATGTCAGATCTACACCATTGCTTTGGTACCATTTCTGTGTCTAATATCATATTAAAGAGGTGTGTTAAGTATCCAAGTAAGATGGGGGCACCTAATTTAAGGGCTTCGTTTGTTAACCCATCGGGCCCTGGACTTTTTTAATTTTTTAGTATTTTTATATGCCAGAGTATTTCTTCTTCTTTTATTGGTTTAACTATATTTACTCTAGATTTCTTCTTCAATTCTTTATCAATTTCTTCTTCCAATGTACTTTCGTCTTCCTTCTTTTTGTATAGTTGTTTATAAAATTTTGTGGCGTAGCCTATCACAACTTTTCTTGACTTATTCTCTTCAGAATTGTTTTCAAGTTTTTTGTATCTCATTTCTTTTGAAGAGTTAGTTCCTTGAAGGCTCTCTTAGTGCTTCTAAAACTTTTTATATTTTTTGTTATTATCATTTCTCTATGCTTAAAGTAGTCGAGTTTTATGGATTTATTAGTGAGTTTGAAGAGTTTGGTAAGTTCATTTTTCTTTTCTTTGTTTTTCTTCTTTGTGTTTATTAATTCTGTGCGTTTTTTAATTAGCAGTTTTGTTTGTTCGCTAAGTATTGAATGTCGTATCTTTTGGGTGTCTTTATTATTCTTTAAGCTGGATATTATATTTTCTTCAAGTAAGTCATAGAAGGTTTGAACATTCTCAGGTGTAGTAGTTATATTATCTTCGAGATTGGATTTAAGGCTTTCAGTGTATTTTTTAATTTCGTAATCTGTTGTTGGGTTTTTTTATTGAAGTTTGAAATGTTTTTCTGCTTTTTTTTGTTTGGTATATATGAAACGTTGCTCGTAGTAATCTGTGGTCCGAAGCAAATTTGACTTGGTTTAGAACTTCAATGTTTCTTACCTTGTTAGGTTTATTAGTTAAAATAAAATCGATTTCATTTTTGATCTTCTGATTAGGTGACGTCCAGGTCCATCTTCTTTTGGTTTTTTTCTTGAAGAATGTGTTCATAATTGACAAATTGTGTTCGAGAGCAAAATTTATTAGTCTTTCGCCTCTTTCATTACGTTCTCCGTACCCGTAGTTTCCCATACACAAGCATTCTTCTTTCTTAGGCCACCCTATTTTATCGTTAAAGTCACCCATAATTATTATTATATTGTCTGCTAAAGAGTGTGCTTTTACCATATCGCTGTAAAAATTCTCGATATCTTCTTCTTGCGATGCCTCTGTTGGTGCATATGCCTGGATTATAGATATATTAAATTCCTCGGTTACTAGTTGCAGTAGAGCAACCCTTTCAGAGATCCCTGTGAAATTGGATATCATATGTTTATGTTTTTTCTTTACCAGGAATCCTACCCCATGTAAGCCTTTTGTTTGCCCAGTGTAACATAGGATGAACTCTCGATATTCTTCAATGCTGTAAACAGTTTTCTTTACTTCGGATAAACCCAGTATATCGAAATTGATTTTTTCTAGTGCATAAGTAAGTTGTAAGTATCGTTCAATTGATGAAAGGGATCTTACATTAAATGTACTTATTTTTAAAGTGGAGTTTTCAACTTGTTTCTTTTCATATCTAACATTTTTGTGTTTATTACCATTTTTATTACAATCTTTACTATTACTCTTGCAATTCTTCAATAGAGGGTGGTGGTCTAATTCCCCACGAGGACCAGTCGGCTTGGGGAATACTTCATTGTTATTGTTATTTAATTTTAGTTTAATTGATGTTTTGTTCCGGCAGCTGATGTTTTTATGTCATTGCGTCTGCTCGTTAGTTTTAGAAGGACAGGAAAGGGAACCACTTCTTCTTCTCATAATGTCGAAAGCATTTGCCCTATTCGTCCTTGATGGTGCGTACTGTTTTCGAGGCTTTTGTGTATTTGCAGGTGATGTCGATAAATCCCATTTACACTTCTCGTTGCTTAGTATTTTTTCTTTAATGATCAGTTTATCATAATCTATTATCGCAAAGTTTCCCCTTTTTCTTTCCTCTATCAGTTTTCCTCTTAATTCTTTCCTTTTTTCTTGAACTTCTTTAGGATAGTCTTCAGAAACATATACATTTTTAAATTTCTTCTTGTTTCTCATTATTTCTACCTTTTTCCAGGCATTCACCAATGACATATGTACTGGTCTTCCCCTTCCATTGCTATTGACTTTTTTTCCGATTCGGCGTATCTCATTAATATCGTTGTTCTCAAGACGAATTTTTAAATCAGTACCTATTTTTTGACTGTCAATTCCATTAGTTCCAGCTTGGTCTCTTCTGTTTCTTTGAGTCCGTATATAATAATATTATTGTTTCGTCTGCTTCTTTCCATTAATTTTATTTTTTCTTTCAGTTCTTGGTTTTCCAACCTTAATTCTTCGACTTCGCATGTGAGAGGAGCCAACTTTTCGTCTAGTTTCGAAATTATATCTTCTGTTTGTTTTGCCATTTCATTTTTCATTCGTTCAAAGAATATTTATATGTTATCCATAGTTGTTTAGTGTAAAACGTAATGTTTTTACTAAGTCCCGCCTCTAAAGGGTAGTGATTATATAGTCTTTGTAATAAACGTTGAACGCAGCCTAATTCCTATATGTTGTCAGCATTGGTTGTTAGAGATGTTACGTTGGTAGATATTCCACTGCGTTTCGTTGTCTGCGGAGCACTTATCACTTGACCTAACCTATCAATATAGTTCACACACCTTGTTGATTTTTTTATCTTCTTCTGTTTTTATTAAGGTTATTAGTTATAAGTTCACTTCACTATGTTTTATATTTGAACTTATCCCTTTTACTTAATTGGGAAGAACTTTTGAATTTATTTTGGAGGTAAACGAGAGCACATTAACACTACTTCTTGCTACGGTAACGCCGGATCCGGAAGTCGGTGGGCCGACGACATAATACAATATGCAGGAAAAGATTGTATGAGCAAAAGTAAAAATAGAGAAATGTGGAATCAGATGGAGGAGGCCTTTACTCAAAATGGGATCCATATCTCTGAAAATATACACAGTTAACCGTACAAACAATAACTAATATAAAATAAGGTAATAATACTAACAACAAGTACGAGTACTAATCAACATAGAAATGTAAAATGTAGAAACGTAGGGATAAGGAATAAAGAGGCTATATTATTATGTGGGGTATCTATATAGTTTTCTCATCTGGTTGGGATGTATAAATATATAAACGAAAATAAAAAGATAAATATACATAAATATCAATAAAAAAAAATAAAAAAAATACATAAATAAATAAAAGCCCAACCAGATGGAAGCCCTCGGCAGGGGAGACCAAACGGCCGAGGGTTAGGGGGAAAGGGAAAGAAACCGGCGGACGATGCGGGTGGTATCGAGGAGCACCGCCTTCTGCATTTGAGCCTGGAGCGGTCCGCCACGTAGTCCCAGCCGCCTCAGATGACCCGAGAGGCTGACTGGGATTAGCCCGTTTGCAGAGATGACTACAGGAATAATTTCGGTCGGCAGACCACCCCACATGTCGGTCACCTCGTGAGCCAGGTCCAGATATTTTGTTTGCTTATCTGTTTCGGCTTTCACGAGGTTCTCGTCACACGGAATGGTAATGTCAACCAAAAATATCCTTTACTGTGCCCGGTCCATCAGCACAATATCAGGCTTATTCGCAAGAATAGTCCTGTTTGTGATGATGGCCCGGTCCCAATAGAGCCTGGCGCGATCATTTTCGAGCACGGCTTCCGGCAAGTACTTGTAATACGGAAATTTCCGATCCACGAAACCGTATTTCAGAGCGAGCTCCTGGTGTAGAATTCTGGCTACTAGGTTGTGCCTGTGCAAGTACTCAGAGTTAGAAAGCGCCGAACAACCGGAGATGACATGCCTAAGTGACTTACCGGGATGGCGACAAGCTCGACAGATGTCGATGGTGCCATCCTTTAGGATGTATCTCCGATAGTTGTTGGTCTTAATAACCTGATCCTGTATTGCACAGACAAAACCCTCGGTTTCTCCGAAGAGGTCACCAAAGCGTAGCCAGTGGAGGGAGGTTACTGTGTCTACTAAAGGCCCATGTAGAGACTTGTAGAACCTCCCGTGGAGCTCCTTCTCCTTCCATACGGTCTCCCGGTCGGAAATTGTCTGCACTGCCGGGTCTTGCCATTGCTCGTTGGCTAAGGATAGAGGGGTAAGTCCTTTATCACAAGTATCTATATAGTTTTGTCATCTGGTTGGGTGCTATAAATATATAATTATAAATGAAAATGAAAAGACAAATATACATATATATCAATAACATAAAATAAATATAAAAGTACATAAATAAATAAAAGCCCAACCTGATGGAGGCCCTCGGCAGGGGAGACCAAACTTTACTTCACCACGTTAGAAAATATTCTTGACAATTACTACTTACACCTATCTATTGTCACAGTATTATTATGGGTGATTTTAATACTTGTCTTTTAAAAATCAACGCTAGATCAATAAAACTTAAATCTATTATTGAAGCAGCAAATTTAAAACTTCTTCCTACTTCTGCCACACACTTTTTCCCGAACTGTGCCCTTTCTCTTCTTGACATAATGTTTGTGTCTTTACCTGACCATGTTCTTAAATTTGGGAAACATGCTGCTGATTTTTTTTCGTATCACGACCTTTTATACTTGTCATACAAAATCCGACCCCTAAAGCTAAGTCAAGGATACTACTTCAGCGTAACTTTAGTGACTTGGATTTGGAGCAGCTTTTAAATGACGCTGTAAAGATTGATTGGAGTGTAGTCGTCAATGCGTCTACTGTTGATGAACAGGTTGCTTTGTTCAACTCTCTGTTAATTCAGCTTTACGACGTTCATGCTTCTGTTCATCCAGTGCGTGTAAAGCATCCTCCCTCTCCTTGGCTGACCGATGATATAAAAAAAATCATCCACATTAAAAATTGTGCCAAAGCTAAATACAAGTCACTTTTTACCGATTTGAATAGAGAGAAGTAGAGATTAGTACGGAATCGTTGCAATAATCTGTGTAAAAAAGCACAACGACGCCATATCCATGAATTAGTACAAGATCCTGACCCTGCTAGGGTTTGGAAATTTCTTAAGTCCTTAGGAGTTGGGAAATTACGACAAAATCTCACACACCATAACTTTGATCTCAATCAACTTAATTTGCATTTCTCATCTTCGTCTTGCATTAACGATAAAGCAAAACATAATACTTTGGACTCTCTTTCAATAGCTCCCACTCCGGACACCTCTGCTTTTAATTTTAGCCAATTTAACAGTTGTGATGTTAAGAGAGCCATAATGTCCATCCATTCAAATTCGATTGGTAGTGACTGCATTAGTCGGAAAATGGTCATCCCTCTCATTGATTTCCTTTTACCTATAATCACGTCTATCCTGAATAATTCACTGAATTCTGCTTTTTTCCCTTCAGCTTGGAAAGACGCATTTGTAGTTCCTCTTCCGAAAAAGTCAAATCCCTCTAGTTTTTCTGATTATAGACCTATCTCTATTTTGCCTTTCTTTTCCAAAGTTCTAGAACGTCTTGTGCACAATCAATTAAGCACCTATCTTTTAAAACACAATCTTTTAAATCCCTTGCAATCCGGTTTCTGTCATGGCCATAGTACGAATACTGCACTTTTACAAATCACTGATGATATTCGGTATGTTATGGAGAAACAAAAGCTTACCATTCTCACGTTGCTTGATTTTAGTAACGCATTTAATACTGTAGATTTTGATATATTGTTAAGCATCCTACGCTCTCTCAACATATCTCCAACTGTAGTTGACTGGTTTCAAAGTTACTTGTTTGGTCGCCGACAGCGAATTCAGGTGCAAGAGGTTTTTTCCACCTGGACTACTACAGCTGCTGGTGTACTACAAGGTGGCGTGTTGTCTCCTCTCCTTTTTGCAATTTTCATTAACTCTATAAGTCATAACTTGTCCTCTTCTTACCACTTGTATGCTGATGATCTCCAAATCTATACTCAGTCCTCTCTTGAAGATCTATCTAAAGCAGTTGACACTATTAACGCTGATCTGAATTGTATTTCGAATTGGAGTAAATGTTATGGTTTAACGATTAATCCTAAGAAAACTCAGGCCATTGTCATCGGTAGTTCTAGATTAATTGGTAAAATTGACTGGTCTTCCCTACCCCCTATTATACTTGACTGCACTCTAATCCCTTACAGTAACAAGGTTAAAACCTGGGGTTGTATCTTGACTTCTGTATGTCTTGGACCTCACAGGTTAATGAGGTCAGTAGAAAAATGTTTGCTGCGTTAAGCTCTTCACGTAGATTACGTAATTTTCTTCCCACAGCAACTAAAGTTACGCTCGCCCAGTCTCTACTTCTGCCTATCCTTGACTATGCTGATATTTGCTATCTTGACATTACCGAGGAGCAACTTAATAAGCTTGAGCACATTCAAAATTTATGCATAAGATTTATATTTGGGCTTCACAAATATGATCATATCTCCGAATTTCGCAAACAGCTCAAATGGCTCCCGATCCGCTTTCGCAGGAATACTCACATTCTCTCCGCGTTGTATAGTGTCCTGTTTAATCCTTCTACTCCTCTTTATTTAAAAAACCGTTTCCAGTATCTTTCTCTTACCCATAATCAGTTCCTTCGATCCTCCGTCAATCTTTCTCTCTCTACACCTTTGCACTCTTCTTTCTTTTTCAAGAAATCCTTCACCGTAACCGCTGTGCGATTGTGGAACTCCTTACCTCTCCATATTCGTCGTGCTAAATCTCTTCACTCTTTCAAAATTCTTGTTAAATCGTATTATTTAGAACGCTATTAGATAAATTACTTTACCTTTCTCGTACTCTTTTCATTTAATCTACTATATGATATTTTATATATAACTTTCACTTATTTTTACTTGTATGTATTATTGTATTTTTTTATTATTATTATTAATTTGTATGCCCCCCTCTATTTGTAACTTTTGTTTGCAACATTCCTCTACGCAAAGGTTGTTTGGAAGAAATCACTTTCAGTGATAAGACCGCCTATTGTACAAACTTTAATTAGTTTTAACTATATTGATGTTTCTGTATTGTGATGTACAAAAAAGAATAAATAAATAAATAAATAAGATGGTGTTTGACTGAAACACATTGTCTGTACGCCTTTGTAGTCCGTAATGAACTGGCACGGGGCCGTGATAAAAAAACTGCGGTTGCCAATTCGCTTGCTAAGCGTGGCATATATGGCAAAGTCATGAGGGATATCTTTGAGGGAGGCCTATGTTCAGCAGTGGACTTTTATAAGCTTTAATGGCAGGAATAAATTTAAAGTAAAACCTACTAATACGCTGCGTCAAAACATATTTTTTATAAGATAAGGGTGACAAACGAGCACACAGTCCATCTGATTGTAAGTGGATGCTGTCTCCCAAAGACTGCTACGACTGACTGAGAGCTGCTATTTACATTTAATCTCGATTAAGAA